GGGGGAGGCAACCTGGCCTGCAACACCTCACCCAAACTCCTGAAGTGGCCCTCTGGCCCAAATCATTGCCCACCCCTGTTCTAGAACATAACCATAGTCAACCATGCAGCATGTGATCAAGTTTACACTTAGGATGCTTTAACAGTCCATCTGAAGCTTCCTAATATAACTAGTAAAAAATTCAGGTGTACCGCGTACAATTCACCTAGAGTAGTTATTAATATCAAGGTAAAGAAAGTGCAAAATCCTACCCTTCTGTTTTAGTAGTATATTGCACTCACTGTGCAAAAGTGCAAATGATCATACAAAATGGGCATGTCTACATGTGCAATTAATGCACACAAATAAACTCCAGAGCCCGAGTTTATTCATCCACACAAATAAACTCTTATTGCTCCCGAGTTTATTCATCCACAGCACATGGAGCCCTGTCAAAGCAGCCTTGGCTGACAGGGGCCTGGGTGGGGGGGTCAGCCTATAAGCCCAGGGCTGCTCCAACTGGGCTCCACATGCTGCAGAAGGGATGACTGAGGCACAAGGGTGCTTCAGCGTGGGGGTTGCCTGCTGGCTGGCCCCACACTGAAGCACCCTGTGCCACAGCCAGCTGGGGTAGCATCTGCACATGTGCTGCTGTGCACGAAAAAACCCCAGAGCAGGTTAGGACTTGTATTTACAAGTCCTAACGTGCTGCAGTGTTTATTAGTTTCATGTGCTCTAATAGGGGTGTACATGTAGATGCTGAGGTGTTTACTGCACAGTTAACTAGTCACATGCTATGACCCTTTGACTTTTTTTTTGCATAAATTTGTAGAGTCCAAGGGAGAAGAGACCCACTTGCATCATCTAATCTGGCTTCCCGTATAATGTACAAGCCATAGAATATGTTTCCAGAAGGCAGGTTAAAGCATGCTTTCAGAAAGCCATCTAACGTTAAATTAAGGACGCCAAGCAATGGTGACTGCACCACTTCTTTTAGTAAGCTGCTCCAGTGTTTAATTACCCTCCCTGCTAAGAAACTGCATTTTATTTCAAGGCTGAATTTGTCTAACTTCACCTTCCAGCCACTGTATCTTGTTATGCTTTTGTCAGAAAAACTGCAAAGCCCCACATCACTATCCAATCTTTTTTTCTTGTACAAATACTTAACCAGAGTAATCAAGTCACCTTTCAGCTTTCTCACTGACAAACTCAATAGAGTCAGTGCCTTCATCCTTGCACTTGCCAGCTCCTGGATCATTCCCGTGATCCTCCTTCTGGTCTCTCACCAGCATTTCCGCATCCTGCTTGAAATGTGGGCACCAGTGCTCATTAACTTATTAACAATAGTACTTTACCAGCAATACTATAGGCAGAGGCAAGCTCCCTCTCCTATTTTTACTCAGTATTCCTCCTCTTTATTCATCTGAAGATCACATTAGCCCTTCTAGCTACAGCAGTGCTCTGAGAGCTCAGGTTAAGGCTGTTATCTGTGATGACCCCCAAATCTCCTTCAGAGTCACTGCTTTCCAAGATTTCTTCACCATTTTGTAATTGTAGCCTGCATCCCTTGTTCCCAGATGTATCACCTTGCATTTTACTGTATTAAAAGACATTTTATTTTCATCATTTAACAAAGCGATTCAGTTTGGGAACTCCTACAAGGGAGTTGGAAGGTCACTGATATGTGTGCTGAAAAGAACATGGCTGAGGTTATGTCCCTGTGTTACTCTTCTTTCTTGCTTGAAAGTCTCCCTTTGCCTGTTGTTTACTTCTGACCTACATATGATGGACTGTTACGTGCATTCAATACTGCCAACTTTTTCCATCAGTTCCATTTTGTAGCAATTTACAGTTCAGCCCTGAGTGCCAGACTAAGCCAAAAGCTTTTTAAAGAGTCTATAAAGTAGGCAAATATCTTCTTCAGCGTCTGCATTCCTCATGTTTATTTATGAGATGCAGAGTAAATATGTGGTCAGTGCTTGTTTCTCGGGAAGGAACCCAGTTTGACTTTCATGTATTATGTTGTTGGTTAGATGTGGTATTATTCTTTTATTGATGATGCTGCAGAAATAGTTTCATTATGTTCCATCTAGCACAGATTCATCTGTAGCTCCTGTGCTGAAGGCATCCCTTATTTTGTATGCTGAGGTAATTATCTTCCACCACAATTTGGGGAAGTATCCAGGTTGGAGGGTAGGTACAATATACAATCACCTTCTGTCATTGTGACGCACTACATGAATACACATCCAGATGCATTCCATACTTGTCCTACAGACATTTGTCAAGTTTTATGAAGCCCTGTATGTGACACTTTTTCTGGACAAAAGTCACAAATATTCTTCACTTGAGCATTAGAAAGTGGAGATGGAAGATGTACACACAAATCTACCGTGAGTATTAACAATCAAGCTGAACACAATGCAGGAGACCAGCTGGTGGCAAAAGAGCCCATTCATACAAGAATCCAACAACCCTGCTTTAGAGATGGCAGCAGGAAAATCTCATGGGCTTTTTGGCGTTCTCTTGGCAGACTGGTGGTTGGGTACTTTAAACAGGAAAGGTCCCGTGGCCTTTTCTGCTGCCATCTCTGCGCTGCTTGTCCTTGGATGCTGGTCTATGGTGGCCTTCAGCTCTCAGCAATAGTAGGCAGAGTCTTCCTATCTGTTTGACAGTCACAGTCTCTGTGATCAACAGGCTCCTACCAAGGCCAGGAAGAAGTAATTGCAGAAAGCTACCTACTGCCTCCCAGCTGAGAAACATGAGAATTTAAGGTAGTGGGGGCAACAGGGTGTCCTATGAGATATATGATATGGCAGCTCTATTCCAAACTCCTTTCCCTAAGCAACCCTTCAGCACACTGAAGCACACACCCCAAGCCCAAAATAAACTCTCTGGTCCCATATTTTCAAGAAACACAACAAATTTCATATAAAGTTACAGCTCTGAGAATCAAGTAATTCATAATAATCTTAGCATTTTTTTAAACTCTCTAGCCCTCATGGGGGCTGGAAAGCATTTGAAAACCTATGTTAAGTGCCCCTCGAAGCTTCAGAGATCAGAAGACAAGTAAAAATAACCCTACATTTATTTCTTAAAAAGGACTCTTACGATTACTAAGCTAATCTCATAATTAGCTGATGTCTGACATATTTTAATGCCTGGGGTTGGTAGCTCTGCATGCGAACCTTAAACCGATCCCCTTTTATTCCCACACACAGTGGAAACAACACACATTTGCCTACAGTGCAACAGGAATCACGCAGAACAACTCCTTCCCCTTCTCCTGGAAAGGAGAAAACTGCTTTGTGGGCATCTGGGACCTCCCACTGGGTGTAACTACACATGCTATTAATGCTATAAAGGCTTACTGCACAGTAAAATACTGTGCACTAGGCATTCCCTGGGAGCACGTCTATATGTGCTCACTGTTGGGAGCAAATCTCCCAGTACAGGGCTGCTCCTACCCTGCTCTGCTCCCCTGCAGTAGCCAGAGGGAGCTCCAAGCTTCCCCAGGGGCTGGCAAGGAGCATGGGGGCTGTTCCCAATGTGCATGGGGCTAAGAGAGCTCTGGTAGCTGCAGTGGCAGCTATCTCCTGGATCACTGCACATCAGGAGGGAACCTGATGTACACCGGGCCAGGAGACAGCTGCCGCTGCAGCAGGCAGAGCATTCCTGGCCCCATGCCCATCAGGACACACAGCTGCCAGCAAGCCCCCTGCTGGGCAGAGATTCCCTGCCCAGCGGGGGGTTCTCTGGGAGTGCCCTGGGTTTGGGGCAGCTGCTGGGAATCTTTCTGCCAGCCAGGCAGGGGGGCACGGGGCTCACCAGCATCTGCCCTGTTTGGCACAGAGTGGAGCTTCTCCACACAGCTGGAGGCTGGTCGGGAGCTGTCTCACTCCTTGGGCAGCTTTCAGCCACCCCCAGGTGTGTGGGGATTTACCTGAGCAGCACTGGGACGGGGTAGGTCTCTGCCCCACCCTATCCCTGTGCTGCTTGGCTCCTGGCTCTCTGCTTCCCCATCCAGCTGTGGACTGGCCAGGAATAGTCCTGCCTCTGGGGCAGCCCTGGCTGGGCGAAGATTTCCCCGAGCAGCCCAGGGCTGGCCAGGAGCTGTTCCACTTTTGAGGCGATCCTCACCCCAAATTGCATGCCTAAATTTAGATTATAATCAGCATGGGATCACTGGTGATTTTGGAAGTCCTTATTGCATTAGGGATTTCAATGGCAAGATGGAGAGAGGTGTCTGCAGCCAATAGCAAAGAATTTGCTATCATGACTGCAGAAGACCTGAGCCAGAGGGGACATTCCTTGAAGTATGTTATGCTGGAGTTCCCCCTTTTCCAAGATGCACCTCTGTTAGCTTTATTCACAATCAGACTAGCAACAGCAATCGCTTAGTGTTTGTTTAGGTTAATGAGGTTGAAATTAAACTGGGGCTAACTAGCATAACCTCTTTTCATAAGCTAGACCAGGGGCAGTCAACCTGCAGCATGCATGCCACAAGTGGCATGGGCAGCCTCTGTGTGTGTGATGGATCAGATGAAGGGGACAAGCAAAACAGTGGCAAATGGAGTACAAAGCAGAAAGAGCAGTGGATGGAAAAGGGAACACAGGGCAGGAAGCTAAAGAAGAACAAGGGGGTCGGGGGGAAAGTGGGTGTCTACTACAGGCCACCCAACCAGGGAGAAGAGCTAGACGGGGAATTCTCAGGTCAGCTCGCAGAGGCAGTTAAGTCAAAGGACGTGGTGATCATGGGTGACCTAAACTATCTGGACATCTGCTGGGAAGAGCAGTCAGCCAGGTCTGACCGCTCATGTAGGTTCCTAGCCAAGCTACAGGACCTCATTCTAACCCAGGAGGTGCACAATCCCACCAGGGGAAATGCCTTGTTGGACCTGGTCCTGGCCACAGGCAACGACCTGGTGAGGGACTACAGATGCTCAATCACCTGGGCGATAGCGATCATCGCCTACTGGAATTCACCATCCAGCGCAGGGTGGCAAAGGCCTGCAGCAAGGCAGCAGCCCTATACTTCAGGAGGGAGGATTTCAATGAGGTAAGGAGACTAGTTGGGGAGGTACTGAGGTCCCGGAGGGGTGAGGAGTTGGGAGTCCAAGAAGAGTGGTCGTTCCTTAAGGAGACAATCCTCCAAGCCCAAAGGGTGACAATCCCAACACAGATCAAAGGGGGCAAGAGGGCTCAAAAGCCCCCATGGCTCACCAAAAACATCCAGGAACGTCTCAAAGCTAAAAAGGAGGCGTACACCCAATGGAAGGGAGGGACCATCACCTGGGAGGACTATACCTCAGTTGTTCGGGATTGTAGGGGGGCTGTTGGGAAGGCCAAGGCGGAGATGGAACTGGGACTAGCGACCCGGATCAAGGATAACAAAAAGTCCTTTTTTAAATACATAGGGGGTAAAAAGAAGGTACCGGGTAACGTGGGGCCTCTGTAGGACACGCTAGGAAATCTGGTGGTCGCACCAGATGACAAAGCTAATCTCTTTAACAATTTCTTTGCCTCCATTTTTCTGAGCAGGGACCAGGTCATCCCCCCCACCGGGAACCCCGACAGTCCCAGGGGAGGCACAGCAAGGCTCAGGGTCAGTGAGGACCTAGTCAGGGAACTTCTGGTTGGACTGGACGTGTTCAAATCAGCATGTCCTGTTGATCTTCACCCCAGAGTGCTGAGGGAATTAGCAGAGGTCATTGCAGGACCCCTGGCACAGCTTTACGAGCACTCATGGTGCTCTGGCAAGGTGCCAGAGGAATGGAAAAGGGCCAATGTGGTCCTCATTTTCAAAAAAGGGAGGAAGGAGGACCCAGGAAATTATAGGCGCGTTAGTCTTACCTTGGTCCTGGGGAAGCTCTTTGAGAAAATT